TCAGCATCAGAGTACATGTTCTTTACTGCTACACTGTGTAATCTGAAATAGAACTCGAAACATACAGTTCTATATCACTATAAATTATAATTTAAAGGTTAAAGTTAAGGTTGCTCCATGGGATCTAGAATATTCTTGGCTACAATCCTGAGTACACTGTCATTGGGCACATCCTAATTTTGGTCGGCGTGATGGTTTCCCAGAAATGTCCACATCCTAATCCCAAGAGCCTAAAACATGTTATCTTACATGGTAAACAGGAATTAAGGTTGTAGGTGGAATGAAAGTTGCTAACCAGCTAACTTTGGGATGGACAGATTAACCTGGATTACCTAGGTGGGTCCAGTGTAAGTATAAGGGTCCTTGTAAGTGCAAGAGGGAGGTATATGGAAGAAAACCAGATTTATAGAAGCCTAGCATTGCTGGCTTTGAAGCTGGAGGAATGGGGCCACCAGCCAATGGTCTCTAGAAGCTGGAAGAAACAGCTTGGAAGCTGATTCTCCCCTAGAACCTCCAGGAGATAGCTGCCCTTCCCATACTTTGATTTCAGCCCAGGGAGACCTATTTCAGGTTTCTGGCCTCTAGAACTTTAAGATAATAAATCTGTGTTATATTAAATTTGTGGTAATTTGTTTCTGCAGCAATAGAAAACGAATATGGTTGGATTGTTTTTCTGAGTTCTGATCATGTTAACAGTAACACCTCCCAAGAAAACAGTACCCAGTTTTAAGTTTTCTTTCTCTGCTTTTGCCAAAGAAAGCACCTGACCTAGACTCTGATTCCCCTTTTCTATATTCACCTTCCTCTTCCTCAAGGCATCAATCTGGCAATACAGATATACTGGAGTACCGACTCAGTAGTGCTATGGGATGAAAAGGTTATTTTAAATAATGGCCTTTACAGATTTCTTCTGGTCCCACTTCAACAAACACAGCAGCTCTAGCTTCCATAGTTCAACACATCTTCTCTACCAACAATGCCGACCAACCGGAGGAAACCGATGTGATAGAAACCATGGGTAGAGAAAACATATGTAAATGTACATAGGCTCCTCTCATTAAACTGCTCTGGTGGAAGGATAATGAGTATTATCAGCCTTGGGGAATTTGCTGTTCTCTTTATGCTGACTTTTTGTTTTAGACTTCTTCCTTTTGAATGTCATTTCTGTCTCAGTTTTAAAACCGTTATCAGGTCTACCAGCAAGCCCAATCTGACCTTTATGTTCATCAGATAATTAAGACCATGCCAGGATGGAAGCAGTCCTCCTCCGCAAAGTGATGATGATGCTTTGTTCATAACAATGTTTACAGAGGGCAGTATTTTCCTGGCACTAGTTCCCTGGAGTGCTCTTTTGGGTCAGTTTCACCACCGGGGTAGGACTTTGTGATTTTGCAGAAGATCCAGATCTCTCCCTGCTCCACAGCCCTTATCAGTTGATGAGAGATTACAGACTCAGGCCAAGTAGCCTGGCTTGGGTTCCAGTACAGAGTTGAGGACCAACTGCTACCAGCCATGTAGTGTCAGGAACAGCACACTGCTCTCATTCACATTCAACTGCTTGGCTTAAGTGTCACCTCCAAGAAATCGGACACCTCATCTACTTAGCATTAGTTAGGGCTTCATGATTTATATAGCAATCATTAATTCCATCCTTCCATTTTTCTACCTACTCCACCTCATGCCCTTCCTATCTGATCAACAGGTGCCTATTTACATCTACTATTAACCAGGCACTTTGCTTAGCACTGTACATACAGTGGTGAGCAAACATGAAGAAATTCCTTCCCTCGTGGAGTTCCCACTTTCATGGTAAAGAAAAATAGTTTCACTAAACACACAAGTAAATGTCCATGTATCAACAGGTACACTGAACTCATAGTCCAAATATCAGTGGCAGCAGTAATAACAAAAGTCTTCCAGTCTACTAAGAAAGAAATAAGAATACAGACAAACAGAAATAAAAGGAAAGAATGGAATAAGCATGATATTATATAAAATAGGATTGGGACAAAAGGGTGGTACAGTTATATTGGGGATGGAAATTAAGAAGATGAGTATGTAATTCGAGAATAAGAAATCCACAGTCTTTTTTTTTGAATGAAGACAGTGGAAGGAGTTAAGTGCTCAGAGAGAAGTCCAATTATCTGTGGAACAAATTCTCAGATCTTCAAACCCCAGTTCCATTTCTTTCCAGCCTACATGAATGAGCTTTCTTGAGGCTTGGGGGCCATTATATGTAAGCTGAAGATTTGTTCTGTTTCATGCATTTGCTGAGAACTTAAAAAGAGACAATATTCAAGAAAGCCCTTAGAACAGTGTCTGATATATACAAAGCCTTTAATATACTGTTTTTGCAGTTGGACATGAAACCTGAATAGGGCTGTGGAGTGAAACTTAGTCCTGAAAAACATTTTTGTTTTTCAACAACACTCTGATAGCAATGAGCATATCCAATGCCTACATCTTGGTTTCTCCCATCCAAGCACTAACCAGGCCCAACCCTGCTTAAGCTTCTGAGATCAGATGAAATCAGATGTGTTCAGGATGGTATGGTGGTAGACTCACATCTTGGTTTCCAATACCATTCTCCAATAAAAGGAACCAGCACTCCTTGGAGAAATGGCTGATCCTAGGACTGGAGCAGGAAATATACAAGATCAGCCTGAAGCACTTTGTGTTGCCAGAAATGAACACAAAGTGCTAAGGAAGCACTAAAAACAAAGATGCATATATATATGCACATTTTTGTATCTTCTGACATATCCCCCATCGTTTTATATATATATATATATAATGCATTTTATCATTTACCATTAATGATGGGGTATGTTAGAGGATACAGAAACCACTAGAAGAACTCCCAATGGCCAAAGCTGGAAGAACTTTAGTACTAAAATAAATAAAATCATATTGGACTATAATCCAAAGTATAAAATAAATATTCATAAGCCCATACTGATATAGAAGTCATGAGGAAACATCAGAAAAACACCAATTAAAGGACATTCTACAAAATACTTCACCAGTACTCCTCAAACTTCAAGATAATAAAAAACAAGGGAAGTCTGAGGAACTGTCACAGCTAAGAGGAGCCTAAGGAGACAGGACTGCTAAATGTAATACAGTACCCTGAATGAGATCCTGAAATAAAAAAGGACATTAGGAAAAAATGAAGGAACTTTGAATAAAGTGTGGACTTTAGTTAATAATAATTACCAAAGTTGCTCCATTAATTATGACATGTATCATACTAACATAAAATATTAATAAAAGGAGAAAGTGGATGTGGTATATATGGGAACTCTCCATACTATCTTCACAATATTTCTTTAAATCTGTTATAAAATAACTAAGTTTATTAAAAAGAAAAAACAAAGAAAAGAAAACATTCTTGCAATGCCAGACCTTTTGGCATCCTGGGAACAGCATAGAAAAGATCCACACATACTCCCAAATTATTCCCCCATAGGAGTCAGGGTTAGACGAGCCAATGGTTTGATTTACCCAGTCTGAAGAAGAGGTTATTCTGCTCATTCATCTAAGCCTGTGTTTGTCTCTTGGTTATTTCTTGGCTACACTTTCAAACTTCGGGTGTATTTCTCTTTTGATCACTAAATAGAATAGAAAAGTAAAACCATGTTCTCTGTTTTTAATTAGTAGCAATTCTAAAGTCAGTCTTTTTTAATTGAAATTTAGGATCGTCAACAAAATACATAACTTTCCCAGCAGTTTTGTGACAATACCTCCAGCCTGTCTCTTTGTTGCCCTTTACCATTACTGCATTTTTTTCTTTGTGTGTCCAACACGATACCAATTTCAAAATTGCATAATGGTTTTATTGTGAAGATTTGCCTTCTTGGTTCGATTTTCTATAATATAGGTCAGCACATGCCCCTTCACTTAAGACAACTTGCACCTTCCTCCCCCACTAAGGAACAAAGCTCACATCACGTTGAATTCAGCGATACTCACTTCGGCAATAAGAGCGTGAGAAAAAGTCATTGTATTATGGTATTAGACACTCATCCGGCGGGTTATTTTAAATATTACCAGAACTTGAATAGCAACAATAATAACCCATTCTATTAAAAAAGGGGGGGGGGAGAAAAAAAGAGCAAGAAAAAGGAAAACAAGAAAAACAATAGAAAAAAGGAGGACTTCATTGCCTAAGTGCTTAAGATCTATTTCGATTTCCTCCATTTTCCTAAAAAGTTAACGGGAAGAAAACCAACTAATAGGAAACGTTCCCAGGATTTTAAATCTCATGAGCCCAGAATCCGTGAAAATCCTGTTTAGAACCACCCCGTGAAATAGGCTTTGGGACGTCCTCCCGCTACTCGTTCATTCAGCTTCTGCCTCTTCTTAACAATCATTCCTGTGGACGTCCCCCGAGGACACAGCAGCTGGCTGGAGTCCCCAGACCAGACTTCCCTAACTGAATATAGATGGGCAGGTGGAGAGGATAAAAGTAATTCTGGCTCAACGGCCACGAATTCCCCTCATCCCCCTGCCCCACAAGCGCGCCGCGTTTTACCGGTATAGCAGGAAGCCTCAGAAACCAAGACAACTCTAACACTACCCCCTTCCTTCTCTGGCACTTCGCGTGTGGCCGGCGCCTGCCTCCCTGTGATGCCATCTTGAGATCCTAGCATCTTCCAAGTAGTTAGTGAGTTCTTGCATTCTGTTCGCGTCCGTGCGTCTTTGAAAACGTACCCGAACTTTGGAAGAAGGTGAGAAACCTGCTGGTGTGGGCTGTTAATTTTCTCCACCCAGAACTGACAAAGTCAGATGCTATTTACAATAAGCCGAACAAACCGCCCCCGCGCCAGCCTGCGCCCCAATTCCCGCTCGCTGGGTGCCAAGTCAGACGCCCCGCGGCGCACCCGCAGCCCCGGGCCCTGGAGATAGCCGTCCGCGAGCGCCGCGTCCAGGGACTGGAGGTCTGGGGGCCAGGTCCCGGCACGCGTGGGTGGGAGGGTGGAGGTACCCCAGCAACTCACAGCCCAGCGCGACCACCAGGTAGCGCAGCAGCAGCAGGAGGAGGCGGTGGCGGCTCCTCCTCGCCATCTTCCCGGGATCCGAACTGGCTGCTCCTCGGAGGCCGAGGGTCCCGGCGGCCGGAGCGCGGCAGGCCGGGCGGGGGCCCCTCAACTTCTGGGGCGGGAGTGCAGGAGAGATTCGCTCCGGGGAGAGGAGGGGAGCGGTGGGCGGACCCTGATGGATGTCAGTTTCCCCCTGCCGGGGGCGCCTTCTCAGCGGGCAGCCTAGGGGCAGGTCTGGCCTGTCCCCGGGCTGCGGGGGGGTGGTGGGGGTGCGGCTGGGCTATTGCTTTTGTGGGGTGAGTGGTGGGAGGGGGTGGGCCGTGGATGCCGGACGAGGTGTGGGCTGGGTCCTAATGAGGGGGCAGGAGGAGGCGAGGAGCGGAAGGGAAGCCCTGGCGGGCGTCCCCCGCCCCCGCCCCGCCGGGATTGATCGGCTTTGTGTCTGGTCCGGCGCGGGGCTGCCCGCTGTCCCCCGGGCGAGGAGCAGGGGGCGGGAGGCGCGGGCCGCGGGGGCTGGGGGGAGGCGGCGGTGGAGGGCAACTCCGCCTGCCTCGCTCCAACTCCTCTCTTCCTTCTCCTGGCACAAAACTTTTTGGGTTTTCAGCCTAGGGGTGGAGATTTTTGGAAAATTTCTGGCCAACGGGCGAAGCTGCGGGGGAGGCGCTGGGTCGGGGTGTGGGGGGGGGAGATGGGGTTCGCCGGCTCCGCCTTGGACGCCGGAGGAAGAAAAAAGAAAAAGCAATCAAGACTCTTGCTAGAAGGCAGGGCTCCGATCTTAGCAATAGCCTTGGCCCCTTCTCAGTGTAAGCTTTTCGCTCTTCGGAGAGTTGAGGTGTGTTTTGTGTTCTTTGCTTTTCACGTGTCAGGGTTGGAAGTTCATCTAACGGTGTAAAATATTTATCATGTTTCTTTCCAGTTATATAACTGCTGCCTGTGGAGTTTTCCACATGTTAAAACTCTACAGCTGCCCTTTGTCAGGTTTATTTTTGGTTTACTGTGCTTTTAAAAGGGAGACCCATTATGAATGCTCTGTTGCCTTCTTTAAAATTGACCTGCACTTACACTGCACACACTCCAAGGGCTAAACAGACAATTTTTGTATTTGCTCCCAGAGACCAAAAATGTCTAGTGCATTCAAGAATAGTGACAGATCTGGACCTTTCTCAAGAGAAGAAATTGTTATACATCAGTTTTGTGTTTTTTTTTTAAAGGTAGAATAATGAATAAAATACTTAATAGAAGAGAGTTGGTTTAGTGGGGTGCACATGAAGAATTTAGCTCACTGGACAAAGGCGACCAGAGTTGAGATATGCAGAGCTGTGAGGAAGGAGACATCCCTGCTGTTTCCTTGGTGACAGTGATGGAAGCTTGATACCCAAGGCAGGGAGGGGCAGAGGACCCAAACAGTCAAAATGGCCAGAACGTTAGAGCTATACTCCAGTCAAGCAAGGAGAGGGGACACAGATTTAACAACAGGCTTATGCCAGTTTTTCTGGGTAGCAACCAGAAAAATGTAATGCTTTACAAGAGAAGTTGATGGCGTTCTCTTTTCTCATTCTTGCCACTGTATATCTCTTTGGCTCCTCCCTAAAGATACACACAAAAAAGGGCATACTTTTTAAAATTAGTATTCTGTGACATCCTATGTGAATAATTGTTTTCAATTAGCAATAATCGCGTCTCGGATAAACCTCACTGGGTATGATACTGCCGCTGCACAAAGCTTACTATGTGAATAATTGATTCACTCCATTATTTGTCACCCAGTTAATGCATTTGCCAAATAGCTACATTGTGGTAGATGCTGGTGTACAATGATGAACAAGATTGAGTCTTTGCTGCTCATGAGCTCATAGTCTTGAGAGAGAGAAAGAGTCCCATCTGGAAAGACCTCTAATACTACATGCTAAGTGTTGTGGGAGAACAGAAAAAAGTAACAGCAGTTCTTATTGAGTGCTTTCTCAGTGGTGGAGTCTGGATAGTGCTAATCTAATCCCCCAACAATTCTGTAAGGCAGAAAATATTATCACTCCCACTTTGCAGATGAGAAAACTGGGCTGAGAGATTCTACTGGCTTGTTCAAGGTCAAGGATAAGGGAATGTTCCTCTGTTGGAGGGTGTGTGCATGGCTTTATTTAGGCATGGAAAGTTACAGATGCTGAAAGGAATGAAACAAGCAAAGGGCACTCTAGGTAGAGGATACAGCAGGATCAAAAGCTGGAAGATCTAAAAATTATGGCTTGTTTAGGTAAAGCAGTGTTCTACAGTGCCAGTTTATATGTGGGATTGGTGCAGAAGAGGTGCCAAGAACTGAAGGGGGGGGGCGCCTGGGTGGCTCAGTTGGTTAAGCGACTGCCTTCGGCTCAGGTCATGATCCTGGAGTCCCGGGATCGAG